TTTGTATTGCCACATATATTTGTATTCTTCTGAGGTGCTGTTTTTCTACTTGAACAGATTGAAATCTGTTAGCATTTCTTCATAACTAAAATCGTCCACTCCCCTTCTTAATTCTGTTGCCTGTCTCTGCCTTTTTTCTTGTGCCATAATATCCTCATTTAGGACAGGTGCCCAAAATTGTACAGCATATTTAAGATGTAGTCTTACCATTTATCTTTAAAGAAGCAAAATTATATTCTTATATTCTTAACCTGAGAACTAATGCCCCTTTTTATGCATGACAATATCTTACAGACCTCAGCAACTGCTGAATGATATTGGGCATTGTAGCCTACTATGTTTTCTATAGCAATTCTCAAATCCTTCTTGTGTTGTTTTCTCAGAGTAACACACACTTTAGAGTATAAATTGCTTGTGCATTATACACACCAAACGGCATAACTTTATAGTCAGTCCTCTAATCTAGTGCTCCTCAAGGCACACCTAACAGTCCTGGATTTAAGGATTACCCGAGTGTTTCTAAGGTGTTTAAAAAAATAAAAAACACCTTAGACACAGTCGGTTAATCCCTAAATCCTGCACTGTTAGGTGCGCTTCGAGGAGAGGGTTGAGGAGCACTGCTCTAATCTATCTTAATCCCACTCTGGCTCACACTGTATTACCCTTCCTCTTCTGTATCATCTGCAAATAATCACACGTGACTTCCAAAGCCTATTTCATGAAAGAGGTAAGTGGGAAATATTAAAAGATACATTTTATTTACTACGTGCAATGTTTTTTTTGTTTTTTTTTTAACATATTAATGATATATTATATATATAATTATTATATATGATAAATGCACAATTAGAGGTTATTTTAAATTGTAAATAAAATGTATATTGTAATATTTCCCACTTACCTCTACAATTACACCTCTCATTGAACTTTTATCACAATGTCGGTTAAACCCCAAGCAATCTCTTTTCTATATTGTGTGTTTGTTACACTCACACACAAAAAAAAATGGAGCCAGTGTTATATTATTATTTTTAGTAGATGCACAAATATGTTTTCTTTATCTAATTGGTTTCCTTACAAAAAAGGTTATAGTAATGACGGCTACCATAACTGTGGTTTTGTATTCCAGACCTGGGTGTTATCAACCACCCACATTCTACACTCAAATTATTTTAAATGAATCACTTTACTGTATAGAGTGTGTTTATTTAGCCCTTGCACTATACATATGACTAAGCACAAGTAACCAGTTATATTAGCCTTCCCTCTTTCTGGAGTGTGCATGTAAATATAGTGCCTGCTAATGGACTACCAATCTGGAAAAGATAATTTATGATTTTAAGGACAGCTTAAAGGTAAACTCTATGTCAAAAAATGTGTATTTATTTTAAGGAATCTAATAAATCATTGTATTTTCAAACATTTGCACAAATATTTCCTAAGCCCTCCCTAAAAGCATTCCTTTCATTATTTGCAGAACTGGCCTCTGCGGCTAATGAGGATCCACCTACTTCTGCCTTGTTCATTTTGAGCATTGTCCAATAAAATGCTTCTTATAGAGAGGTACAGAGGACAAATCTCTAGTCCAAAACTTCTCATAGATTTAAGTGGTTTGTAACATTTATATGTAAATAAAATAATAGTTAAGGGTTGTATTAGTTCAAGTGCTGTTTTAAAAAATTATTTTGTGCCAATGGTGACTCCCTGTATATAGTTCTTGTAGAACAAAATTCTTATCACGTTCAGCCAACTACTGGACCAGAATCTCACTGAGCATGACAGGAGTTGCAGAGGCATACGAATTCTTGAATTTAATTTGATAAGACAAACATTCCAAACAGAGCAGCTTGCGGTGTTTTTTTATTTTTTTCTGACCACTGCATCTAGGAAAAACCAAATCCAATTTATAGAATGATTAAATTGGCAGGCAGCAGAAGATTTGACAAAGTGTGTATAACTCACCCATATATGGGCAATCTGTCCAAGGTGTCTGTGGTTAGCATGCTGTGTGTGATGACACCAGATGGAAAAGTTGTACAAAAGTGATATTGCTAGCCCGGAAGAAAGTATTCTAGCTGGTTGATTAACAGCTCAGGGAGATGGGTCTACACAAACACACACAAATGGAGAGGGTCCTTGCACCATATCTACTTCAGTAAGATGAAGTGATTATGCTGCCTAAAGTCGATTTTAACCACCATTAGAAACCATCAACCTCAACGAATCTATTCTAGCTCTAGCATTAAAGGACCACTATAGGCACCCAGACGACTTCAGCTTAATGAAGTGGTCTGGGTGCCAGGTCCAGCTAGGGTTAACCCTTTTTTCTATAAACATAGCAGTTTCAGAGAAACTGCTATGTTTATAATAGGGTTAATCCAGCCTGTAGTGGCTGTCTCATTGACAGCCGCTAGAAGCGCTTGCGTGCTTCTCACTGTGATTTTCACAGTGAGAAGACACCAGCATCCATAGGAAAGCATAGTGAATGCTTTCCTATGAGACTGGCTGAATGCGCACGCGGCTCTTGCCGTGCATGCGCATTCAGCCAAGGAGGAGGAGAGCTCCCCGCCCGGCGCTGGAGAAAGAGGTAAGTTTTACCCCTCACCCTAGAGCCCGGCAGGAGGGGGACCCTGAGGGTGGGGGCACCCTCAGGGCACTATAGTGCCAGAAAAACGAGTATGTTTTCCTGGCATTATAGTGGTCCTTTAATATGATCAGCATTTCAGTGCTAACTGTAAACACTTTCATTAGATCTGCGTCCTTGTTTTGCTCAGTAGTCTTGAGTGCATATAACAATATACGAGAAAAAGAAAATATTGGATGATGGAAGGAATATCCCTGCCAACTAAAGGCATTAAAAATGCGCTCCCTTCTCTTTCTAGTGTAATATTCTCAAATGAGAAGAAATCATTTTGTAAACTTATACAACAGAATAGCAAGATAAGTTTGTCAAATGTTATATCACATGCAATAATCACTTTGACTCACCTGATTGGAAACAGTCCAAACTATATGCCAAAAATAAAGCACACCTATAGAGATTAACAACCAGTTTAACAATTCTTGTAGTTTTAGTGACTTGCTAATAATTCTACTTGATATCCTGTACTAACACCTCACTGACTTATCGTGAGTTATTTTAAGTGACTATGATTCATATAGAACTGTCAGCCTAAACACAAATTGCTATTCAACTGGATACCAGCCATTACATTATTAGGCATGAGCCAAAGGCACACTGATCAGGCTGTAAATCTAGTTAGCAGCTTTCATTATAATTGTTTTGGAAGCATTTAGGCTTGTTGACTCTTGTTTCCTCAAGTTAAACACAAGCTTATTTTATTTTGTGTCACTGACTGCCAAATATATAGAAACAATATTAAGAAACTATTACATACATGTAAAATGATCACATATTTTAGCTAAATTGTACTTCAAAAGGAAATATACAGTACATTAAAGAAACACTATAGTCGTTAACTACAGCTTAATGTAGTGGTTCTTGTGCCTATATTATGTCTCTGCAGGCTCAGCAATGTAAATGCTGTCTTTTTCAGAAAAAAAGACAGTATTTACATTATTGCCTATTAATACCTCTTGTGGTAGTAACTCAGAAGGCCACAACAGGTGCTTCCTATTTGAGCCCTGCATTGCGTGCAGCACCGAGACGCTGAACGCTCCCTATAGAGATGCACTGATTCAATGGATCTGTTTGAGGAGATACAGATTGGTGCGGTGTAGAATTTTCACCCGCATGCGCACTAGCCCCCCATTGTTTTCTTATGGAAAAGCATTGGATTGGCTTAGTTTGATGATCTCAGCCAGCTGCGGCGAGATCAGCATGGCAATGGAGGAAACGTAGGTAAAACACCATTTTACTCCATTCTTAGGGTGGCTGGGGACCTAAAGAGGTAGTCAAAAGCAAGTCGCAAGAGAGTGCTACGAACAGACAATAGCTTAATTAGCCTGCCCTACGATGGGTCCCCGCTCAGTTCTCAAACTGGGCAGATTTGTTAATTTACAGGATTGGGAATACAGATTGTTTTGTTGCTGAAGTATAGTTTATGTCATGTACTTCATCAGACTGAAACACAGATAACTGGCCCCCTAGTGGGCAATGCTATTTTAGCACAATTCTATTTGTGCTTTATACTTGCGTCTGTCCTTATTGTTTTTGTATTTTTCAATATTATATTAAATATCACTATAAGTTTCTCTCTTTGCTTTTTCCTGTTCTACATTTTGTATTTTTCTTTATGCATACACCATCCAAGAGTGCTATACTTCAACAAAACAATCTGTATTCCCATTTCTGTAAGGCAACAAATCTGTGCACATTTGCATTTTATTGTGTGTACACATTTTGTACTTATTTACCTGTGCCAAAGATGTAACTTTTTTGGCATTCCCACATAATCAAGAAAGGATAAAGACACAGGAAAGCCTACTTGTACGGGTCTCAAGTTGACAAAACATAATAAAAAGTGGACCACATTTTGTCATCAAGTTTTGTCAATTCCCAAAGCTAACCCTAGAAATGTCTGTGGGAAAGAGACAAGATCTGCTCTATGGAGTATCCAGCAGGATCTTCCATACTGTACACTTGCTGATGCATGAGGTTACAGCATTGACACAGGTTTTTGGCAGCAAAAGTGCCAGGAGATGAAAAGCTTTAAGCAATTATAACCAGATTTACCCGTGGGCAGCCACACACCACCCTAGGACATCACCATCTTTGTAAAATAAACAGAGACCCCCAGAGCTGCTTTACATTATGGTTAAAGTATCACTATAGTGTTACTATAGCACTATACCAATGTATTTTCCTAACACTATAGTTCCCTGGTGGTTAGTTAGGTAACCTGCCCCTATCTACAGAAAAAAAAAAGTTGCCTTGCTAACATTTCCTCCCTTACAGCTTTTTCCCTGACTGAGATCATCAAGACTAATGATTTCAGCCAATCCAATGCTTTCCCATTGGAAAGAATTGGGAGACTATAGTGCTGCACCAGATGGTTTCTGAGACCATCTGATAAAAATTTAGTTTAACTCTGCTTTTTCCTTCTAAGCAACTCTAATGGCTGTCTGTGTGCAGGCCACGAGAAGCATTAAAACCTGAATTGAGAGGAAGTGTTCTGGGTGCCTATAGTGTCCCTTTAAAAAGAATTTTCAGCAACCTGTTGATTACCTTTCTGGACCATTATGGACATTTTGCGACCATAACTAACTTTTCAGGATATTATTTGCTAGGTGTGTTCTTATTCCCTTTAATACCCAATTAGAGTTTAGAAAAAAAATGTTGCATGTATTTTGCAGTATAAACTCTAGCCCATAAAGCTTCACTCACCCTCATGTATACTCGAGTTGTTTACCAGTCTGTAGAGCAGGGATCGACCGATATTGATTTTTTTTTTTTTACAGCTGATACTGATACCGATAATCTGTGAACTTTCAGGCCGATATCCGATAACTTATCGATATTCTGTACATTAACCATTTTTAAAAAATAAACATTTTTTCTACACAAATCTACTGTTAACTGAACATGTTTATTTTATTTATCAAATCTTTTTTTTTAATAAGGTAAATGCACAAAATATACATGTCAATCAGAGTTTTCTATGTTTTCAAGAATATGTGTGTGTGTAGTGGATGCAGTGAGAGTATTTGATTAGTGAATGCAGTGTGTGTGTGTGTGTGTGTAGTAAATGCAGAGTGTGTGTTTGTGTAGTGTGTATAGTGAATACAGTGTGTGTGTTTGTGCAATGTGTGTATATAATGAACGCAGTGTGTTTGTGTAGTGTGTGTATGTAATTAATGTAGTGTATGTGTGTTTGTGTAGGTATGTTAAGTATGTAAAATGGGTGGGGGGCATTTTTATTTTTTTAACTTTTTTTTTTTTAAATATTAAATTTTTTTAATGTTTATTTTAATTATAGCCACATCTACTTGCCACAGATGGAGAAGTGTCTCCACCGCTTAATTTATTTAATTATTAGCCGAACTGTGCAGGTGGACAGTGATCTGTCCACTACCAATTCTTTGAATGGAAGCCCTGACCCAATATCAATGGGTGAGGCAGGAGCTTTTAGTCCCCCCTCCCTGCTTCTTACCTGGCCAGGGAGGGGGGAATATGGCATTCCCTGGGGGGCCCGCGGCGTTCCTGGGGGCGCCAGCAAACGCTTACTTAACCTTCAACAGCTCCCTTCAGCTCCTCTGTCTAACTCTCGCGGCCTGCATACTGCGCGGAGCGTTGCCATGGTAACCCATGGCAACGCTCTGACGGCTGCGGGAATTGTGAGAGTTAGACAGAGGTGCTGAAGGGAGCTGCTGAAGGGCAAGTAAGCGCTTGCTGGACCCCCAGGACCCTGATGGCGGTCCTGGTCTGCATTATTGGCGATATCGGTATCGGCCGATACCGATATTGCTGAAAATACAGAATATAGGCCGATAATATCGGCCAGACCGATAATCGGTCGATCCCTACTGTGGAGGAATGCCTTTCTCTGCCAGTAACAACGAGTCACTAATATAATGAATGAAAATCTGCCAACCACGTAAGGTCACTCCCTGCTTTTAAACAGTACAGGAAGTTTCAAAGGATCATATTATTCTTACAGTCAGGAAGGGGTCGAGTCTACAGAATCGAGTCTACATTTCACTATCAGCATTAAATTAGCAGTCTAGAGATTGAGACGGATTGCTATAGCAGCTTTATATACCTATATATTTTGAAATATATGATTTAACTATATTTACTACGAGAGGGCATTGGGCTCAAATGCAGACATTCTTTTGAGCATTTTTTTGCCATTTTAACCCCTTAAGGACACGACATGTGTGACATGTCATGATTCCCTTGTATTCCAGAAGTTTGGTCCTTAAGGGGTTAAGTAAGCTGTACTGCTAAAGTATTAGTTTAATACCTATTTTTGTTACATCTACTGTATGTGAGAAAAATATATATTTTTGTTTTTGTAGTAACATTTCATACTCTGTGCCAAATATTTCAAGCTTAGTACACTGCATACAGTCTAAAGATTTTAATTTCCCAAATAGTTATATATATATATATATATATAAAAAAAATTGCTCTTCTATATCTATAATATGCTAGCTACGCATCCTTTGCGTCAAACAAATCTTAAGCTATTTTTTCCCTAATCAATAAGTGATTGGTAGAGAAGGGGTTAAATTCAGTTTTCTAAAGATATAATAAATGTTAAAATAGTTGTCATACAGTACCGCATTGTTGTTTTTCTTATGTTTGAATACAAAATGATGTAAAGTGATATGGACAGACTTATAATCTGTCAAAAGAAAGCTTTTTTTGTTTCTGAGAAGTGTATAGTAGGTGTATACCCTCCATTTATTTACAAGATCAACTATTCTGACACATGGATAAAATGAGATTACTGACTGCTGTGAGAGATCGTCTGGCTTGTCTAGTAGTAGTTTCTTGTGCATTTCGTTCCCTGATTAAGTTTTGCTCTTCTTTTCTTAATCTGATCTCCTCCTTTACATCAGCTCAGCCATTTACATCTTGACTTTTATCAAACTCATGTTAACTCACTTATTCACAAAATCATCCTTGTGCCTTCAATTGTTCATATCCACTGCTGATCCAAAGAAGTCATGGACACATAGAATGTGACGGCAGATAAGAACCATTCGGCCCATCTAGTTTGCCCAATTCAAAGTCCCTCTAACCCCAAAAGATCTAATCTTCTTATATTATTCTCACCTCCATTCCAGTGCACCCAATCAAGCAGACCACTGACGGTCATGTCTCCTAGTCAGCTGAGTTTAATGGGCTTCCAATATACAAACGATAATTCTTACACTTACCAAATAAGAGTTCTGTATAAATAATGTAAATAATAAACAAACAAACAGCAGGATGTATTTAATGATATATTACTTTTAGAAATAGAATGGGAAAGAAAAATAAAATCTACAGAATGGAATTGTAAGGTTTTACTTAGAGCTCAATGTTTGAATAAAAACGTTAATATATACCAGTTTTTGATGACGTAATGTGGCATATCGAATTTTGCCAGGCTAGATTATCTTTACTTGACGCGGAAGTGATATTTCACCAAAATGTAATATTAATTATGCATGGTTGGTAAGTGTTCAGCATTCTGAAGCAAAATATTTATAACCTGACATTTTGAATTTATCTTTCTACGGACTGACATATGTTAATCGGAGAGCAGTATATTTCAAAAATTGTGCAATGAATTTCAACAGCTATGTTTAGTTCATTCCTACTCACTTCAGCTGGATCTTAAACAAAAATATGAAGTTACCAATGTACCATACTTTAGGTCCCATTTGCTTTAAATGTACAACAGTGAATACAGAACTCATCAAAGTTAAACATCAAATATTTTTTTCCTCTTGGAACGTGATGTCCTCATTTCTTTGTGCCAAGGGATGCAGAGTTATAGATGTGTTTATTCCACTGCATTTAGTGATTTGTACCTCCCAACTGTGTTCTGGGCTGAGCCACAGGCACAGATATATTCATGTGTCTTGGTTTCATGCAAGGAATAAGATGGAAGAAATGTCCGAGCAGCTGATCGAGAACACAATATCCTTCTAGTCATCCGAGTCATCTTCTTGTTGATTCCTTTTCTGTCAAAGGGATAAAAAAAATAAAAAAAAACACACACAGAAATTACAAATCTTGATTTTACAGCCATTGTGTATTCAAAGAGATTTTTTTTTCTCTCCAAATGTATTTGTGCCTATTCATTTCCTGTATTTATTTTCTGAGAACACAGTTCATTTGCTATGTATTACAACCCGACAGAAGCAAATTACAGAAAATGAGCGTGTGTATCGCCATCTACCTTAACGTCTTATGTCTTCTTGTGTTGCAATTACACTTTCTATTTAAAAATAGTTAAATTAATAAATTAATCTTCAGTTTAATTGCAGTAGTTGTGAAGAAATTATGAGTAAAATTATGATTTAAAAAAAAAAAAAAATTCTCTCAAAGTTATTAATAGCATGTTCATACTTCATGTTGTGTTATGTATAGATATGTGATATCTGAATAAAAGTCCTATGTATCCTTTAAAACATACAGCATTTATACCTTTACTTAAAGTGAAAGCAATCAATTCTAGTGTGTCGAACATTTAACAATAGGCTTTGGTCTCAATCACAGGAAATCTCAGAAAAGTCTAGGTCAACAAGGGGATTATCTATGTTGATACCGAAAACATTTGAAATCACGTTTCCATGACTGGATCTCCCAGTTATCCACTACAAAACTTCAAAGATCAGTTTCATAAAACGTGCCAAAATGAAAATCTCCTCTGGGAAATGAAAGAATAAATCAATATTATGATGTTCTGAAAAGATTATGTAACAGAGGTTTCCCTTAGTGAGAGAATATATGAATCTAATGTAACATAGCCCACGGTTACTTAGTATAGATGAGGACCATAAAAATCAGAGTTTGCAATGCTGATGTACTATATCATCCTACACAGAGATTGAATTAGAGCTGTCTGAAAACAAAGAAACAGTATTACTAAGGTTGACCTTCCCAAGGTTCTTGCCCCTCCTATCAATAAAATGCAGTACAGTCATGGATTTCATTTTGGATGGAAATCCCATAGTGACAAACAGTACATTGTATTAGATCTATTACTCACATATATTAAGCCGATAGTAAAAGCAGAATTATCAACCTCTTTATCATATTCCCTATATACGGAAATTGTGTTTCAGGACAGACACTTAGCAGAAATATCATTGCAAGTTTTACTAAAAGAAGATAATGATTACTAACCAGTTTAAGAAAGTCCAGCAGTTTGTGTGCATCTTCACCTGTCGAGAGATCTACAAAATCCTTTGGCAATCTATAACTCAAGTATGGACTTGGCTGAACAGTAGCTTCACTGCTTGTATATCGAAATGTAGGACAATCCTGTAAGAAGAATGGTATTGTTTAAATTTAAAATAACATGCATGATGTGGATATAGACATGGCTAGATACATTATCTACTTGTATTGCTAGTCTGCAATATTACAAAGTCAAACTGAAATATAACTATATAAATAGCAATTGTAATCTATACATTAAAACTGGGTTTCCATACAATCGACCGTATCCACGGTACATTTTACAGTGCTGAGGAAATCAATTATACCAGGCTTCCCCAAACTCCGGCCCTCCAGATATTGCTGAACTACAACTCCCATGATTATATTAATAAAATAGATAAGCTGAGAATCATGGGAGTTGTAATTCAGCAACATCTGGAGGGTCGGAGTTTGGGGAAGCCTGAATTATACCATCTCTCACTTTGAAACAGAATGCTTGCTAATTTGCTAGGGCATTGTTTAAATGGCAACTGTATGCACCATAATCATTACAGGTCATTGCCGTGTTTATTGTGCCATGGCAGGACATCCCTCTAATTGTGCAGAGCCTTTTATTAGTGCTTAGAGTTGGACAAACTAATGAGGAAGTAGAATAATGGGAATGTAAGCCACAGACTCTTTCCACCATAACAACTATAATGAATTGTAGTGGTTTTGGTGCTTAGAGTGCACTTTTAAATAGTCATCCTGACAGTACAATATTTTGAGCAGACATTACGTTAGGTCTAATTGTCAAAGTTGTGCTCGGTTCTCCAATTTTCAAAATGGGGAGTGTATTCTAACAACCATATATAATATACACACCCTCTAAAATATATAAATATGGCCATCCGAGAAATTATTGTACAGAGCCTCCATCATTACAATAAACTTTTTAAAATACACTGCTCAAAAAAATAAATGGAACACAAAAATAACATCCTAAATCTGAATGAATTAAATATTCTTCTGAAATACTTTGTTCTTTACATAGTTGAATGTGCCGACAACAAAATCACACAAAATTAAAAAATGGAAATTAAATTTTTCAACCCATTGAGGTCTGGATTTGGAGTCACACTCGAAATTAAAGTGGAAAAACACACTACAGGCTGAACCAACTTTGATGTAATGTCCTTAAAACAAGTCAAAATGAGGCTCAGTAGTGTGTGTGGCCTCCACGTGCCTGTATGACCTCCCTACAACGCCTGTGCTTGCTCCTGATGAGGTGGCGGATGGTCTCCTGAAAGATCTCCTCCCAGACCTGGACTAAAGCATCTGCCAACCCCTGGACAGTCTGTGGTGCAACGTGAAGTTGGTGGATGGAGCGAG